TTTAGACTACAGTGGTACCTCAGTTTATGAACTTAATCCATTCCAGAAGTCCATTCTTAAACTGAAACCATTCTTAAACAAAGGTGTGCTTTCCCTAACGAGGCCTCCTGCCGCCGGTGCCCTTCCACAGTTCGAATTCCGTTCTTAGACCAGTTCGTAAACTGGGACACTACTTCCATTTTTGCAGAGTGCGTAAACTGAATAGTTTGTAAACAGGACTTTTCTTAAACCAAGGTACCGCTGTAGTGGCTAAGAGATACCGCACAACTGTTCTGCTGTTTTCTCCTCCCTTATCCCACTCTTGCACACATACACAACAGTCCCTTGTCATTCTGAGACTTCAAATCCACACATTTCTCTGAACCAGCTAGTCTGCCACCTCTGGTTAGCCTTATACCTCCACTGTACAGGCACACTAGCAGAAGATAGGATGATGTGTGCATTCCTTGAAGAACATATATACACAGTGTAATAATTCCTAGAGAGCTTTTGGAAGCACAATCTCCAACATTCATGGACTGCAGCAAGCTGCCTGGAACCTAGATCAGAACTGGCTCTGCAGGGCTTCAGATGGGTCTCCCTCAGCCCTGCCTGCAGATCACAGGGACGGAACCTGGGACCACACTCAACTGCTGCCCTTTGTGGGTCACTGAGATGTTATATGGTTGTTTTTTTCCATTAATAAATCTGCCTGTATACTAGGGATGCCTGAAGTTTGGTCACCATTTTTAAACTCACTAACCTGATTTGCACTTCCTGGATTAATTGAAGGGAAGGAGCTAAATTGTCCAGTTTTTGTACTTCTCCAAGCACAGCTCTTGGCTCAGAAGGAAAAAAATAAAAGGAGATACAAAAAAAAGTGAATTTTAAGATTAAACGCTCAAAAACACATACATTAAAAGGTCGCTTTTTATTCAATTTAAAAAATAAATTGCAGAATGGTGAGGAAGTGAGATAGAAGTGACTTCTATGAAATGGCACATGCAAAACTGTCCAGTACCAGAAACAAAACTGATTCGTCCTTCCTTACATGTAAGATCCAAGCAGAAGAAACTGGATTGTTGGGAGCCCGAAACTGGGAGCCCAACTCTGGGAGCCCGACTCTGCTCACAGATTCAGGGTTTGCTATTTATTAGATTTCCTGTTGGGTTTGTATCCTGGACGCTTCCACATAAATGCTCTCATGAAAGCTAACAGCTACATGGCAAGCAAACAATTGCTTAAACAAAACACTACTGCCACAGATAAAAACAATCAATGAAGTTCTGCCTTCCCAGGCCACAACCAGTTCCTGCCAGATGGCTTTTGCTTGCAGTCAGGCTCCACCCTTATTAATCTTACCATTTTGCCCTTCAACATTGGCATGCTAGCAGTCCTGGCATCCCGTCCAACCAATTGAGAGATATCCACATGTACTGGCAAGAAATGGATATGGAAAAGTTGACGCCAACCGTCATGACCCAAACTTCTCACCCTCTCAATCAGGTATTCATAGGGCTGTCTATGGTCTGTGATTATAAATCCAAGGTACGTGACAATAGCACCATAGCTCTAGCCTAAAGGAAATTTGTAACTGCATACACGCACATGCACAGAAACACACACAAACATTTATTTTGCTCCTGTTCTTTGGGAGGGAAGGCAGGAACTATGCAGAAAACTAAACCTTCAGTTTGTGATCACTGGAATCCTGCTCAGCCTGTTCTGGCTTTTGAAATTTCACTGGGTACTGCCCAAAATATTTTCAAACTGATCTTCACAATCAAAAGGACTAGAGACTAGAAAAGCAGTGACGCTCCATAGACTTCCATGCTTGTATGAGGATGTAATGGAAGCGCAAAACATACCTGGCCCTGGCCGTTCAATATATTACATTTCCAATGGATTCTATAACTGGTTCGCATGGGTGTTTATATCTGAGTTAGCAACAGTACTACACTCCCAAATACATTTCGTTTTAGTTTAATTATCTCACTCAAGCTTCTCCACACCTCTCAGCTAACGTCTGGCAAGCGAACTCACCCTGCAGGGCATCCCTCAAAGTGGAGAAATTAATTCACAGAAGAACATTCATAGAAGGAAAACAAGAACAAGAATCCCAGGGGGAAGAGAATGAATTCTTGGATGGGGTTTCACTATAACTCCAAAACTGAAACTCCATCTTTCTCAGTAGAGGGCAACTCTAAAAAGCTCACTTTAAACAGCCATACTTCAAGCTTCCCACCAGCTCCTTCATTTTTGCAGTTCACACAAATCACCCTCAGTCTCGATTCTATTCCTGTAGTAACCTTAGTGTGAAAACTACTTTGGCGGTATCTCTATGGAGAATCGTGTCAATATTTTTTACTGCCACTTTCTCTCAGTCAGCTCACAATGCATGCTTTACACCAGAAAAAAAGTATTTTGGCTACAAACTGCCTAGTAATGACTAGAAAATCCTTATCTAGCTAGCCATTTTCAGGGGAGAAATCATAAGTAGTTACTCCACATTCCAGATTACCCTTTGAATGCAGTTTTGCCTGACATACTTGGAACTACTTCTAGCCCTTCAAGTTCAACCCCAGTGTGTGTTGACTCACAAGGAAGTCCCACTTTGTTCAATAGAATTTCCTTCCAAGTAAGGGCACAGAAGATTTCTGCCTGAATCTGTTTTGTACACCTTGCATGTTGCCATTTACACACAAAAAAAAGGAGCTGTGCCTCTCCAAACACGCAGCAGACACTTGCCAGAGAGATAAGGCAACTACTCGTCTAAAACATACAGTGGTGCCTTGGGTTACAAATTCTTCGGGTTACAAACTCCGCTAACCCGGAAGTAGTACCTCAGATTGAGAACTTTGCCCCAGGGTGAGAACCGAAATCGCGTGCCGGTGGTGCAGCGGCAGCGGGAGGCCCCATTAGCAAAAGTGCGCCTCAGGTTAAGAACGGTTTCAGGTTAAGAACAGACCTCTGGAAAGAATTAAGTTCATAACCTGAGGTACCATTGTACTGCTCCCTTTCACATATATAGGTGACCAAAAACACACGAGGCAGCCCTTAAACCAGCAGGTGAGGAACCTGCAGCCCTCTGGATGCTACTGGACTACAACTCCCATCATCCCTGACCACTGGGCTGGGGCTGATGGGAATTGGAGTCTGAAAGCATCTGGGGGTTGGACTAATGACCCCTGAGGTATCTTCCAACTCTATTGATTCCATGGAGGGTTGCACCTGACCTTAAAGCTACAGGAAGAGCTCTCTCAAGGCAACTCAACCTGAAGGGAATTCGAAAGATACCTGCTTGCACTCTGCTCTGAACCGCAGCATAGGCTTAAACAGAGAGCTGAGCAAACCGAGAGGAAAAAACACGGTCAGAGAGGCCAACTGTAAAGAGCAGGAAAGACAAGGGATAGTGTTGGAAGGCCTATTGCCAGCCTGCAAAGCAATTAAGTTATTTTTGGCAGCAGAGTGAGGGGATTCCTATCTTGAAACTCTCTTAGGAGCTTAAAATAGGCAGCGTTATTTCCTCCCACTAATAGCTGCGACCCTGCAATTGCTGTGGTGGCCAAGAGCTGTCTGGACCCTGGAGGTATTATCCAACTGCAGGCCCTTGCTCTCGGCCATGAACTGGTCTGTGCTATCAAACAAACTTTTTAAAAGCTGCTTTTGGGTGAACTAAATAAAGGCTACCAAGAGCTTGTAGGGACCAAGAGGCTTCTACACAACGTTCCCCACCAAACAATGCATGGGTCTTGCTTCCTAGCACACATCATATACATAACTATGGCATACTGTACAGCACACACCAGTATTGGCTGGTGGGGCAGAAGAGCTTACCTGACCTCTTGTCACTAGCGTGGCTGTGGCTTACTGGGAGGGAGATTGCAGTGAGGTTGGGGTGGTGCAACTGCACTAACAGGAGTGCCAGGTTTGCTCCGCCATTGGGTTTGCACCATGTCAACCTCCCCACTGCCTCGCCTCTTCCAGTATGCTGCAGCAACAACGGTAAGGCCCACAGCCCCACCCTGTTGACTGCTACTGCACACCACACACCATGCCCTCTTGTTTTAGAGCAACTGTTGTACAATACCTCAAAAGAAAGGTCAACTTAAGCATTTTAAAGAAGGAGATGGTCAAAAATAGCTTTATGTGTTGTTGCTTTATGCAAATGAAAACAGCCCTTTGTTCTCTTCTGATCTACTTGCTCTGCTTGGGAAAATGCACCCGTTCCATATCCCTTTCTCTGAAATGCTTTGCTTGATCAAAGGTTTCCCTGGCAATTGCTCTCATAAACTTGAAATGTTTTCCTTCCTAGAAGTAATCAATGTCCAATTATCCTTTTAAACATTCAGTTGGCAAGTCGCACCAACCAAATTCCTACTGAGTGAAACAGGTCACATCCACACCATATGTATAAAGCACATGTCTTTCCTCAAAGAATTGTGGGAACTGTAGTTTAAGGGAGCTGGAATTGTAGCTCTGTAGGGGAGTACACTACAGTTCCCAGGATTCTTTGGAGAATAATAATAATAATGTGTGCTAAATGTACTTTAAAGGTATGGTGTGGGTGTGACCAGTCTTCGGCTGTCTGTCCTCCTTGTCATCCTTCACCCAAACCTTACAAGTAACTAAGTAGCCTGAGATCTCTCCCATGTCTCACATGATCTGCACAAGATGCCATTTACTGGTTCAAAAAATAAATATGGAGCAATTCTGCCCCAGGCTTTGTGGCTTTTCTTGGTTTAGTTTTATTTTTTCATGCATATACTACCTAGATAAATAGATAGAAGCTGAGCTCAAGTCTTTGTAGGAGTTCCTGGTGTCAAACAGAGGCTGCAGGGTTACTTGTCCTGCTAGACTAAAGATATCTGCCAACCTAGGGGGAAATCTATGGTGTTCTAACTAGAAAGGTGGGAGTAGCTGGCAAATGGCTCCACTTGTGGCTGTCAGGATGAGGAGGAACTAGAACCCCAATGAACATGAGCCACTTCCTGAACAAGGATGGGTAGGGTAGATTATCTGCTCAGATAGCTCAGTTGGCAGAGCATGAGATACTTAATCTCAGGGTTGTGAGTGCGAGCCCATGTTGGGCAAACGTTTCCTGCATTGCAGGGATCTTTGCGGTCCCTTCCAACTCTATGATGCTATGATGATGGCATTACGCATGCTGTCAGTAGAACTGACCAATATGGGAAAGGAACTAGCTAAAGATGTGGTATTCTGGCTTCTATTGTGATCCCCCCTATATTTTGCCTTTATTGCCTTTGGTTATTGTCTGAAGAAGGCGGCAGGCTTCTGGGGGGTTAGATTACAAAAGGGGTCCTTGGTTTCACACTTAACACTCTGGCTACACAGCAATCATTTCAGTATAACTGAAAGCACAAAACCTATCTGCAGATCATCAGGTGACATTACTGCACACATGTCTTTTTCTCCAAAAGTATGTGGACTGAAACACAGCGACTGACTTGGGCTTCCCGGCAAAGTATACCATGTGTACATGCTGTGGAATACATGAAGGTGATCATCGCACATCATTGTCTTCATGTGGGTTTCATGCTTTCCACAGAAGCCTTTTCAGTGAAGGAAAGAAAAGGCAGCCAATGAAGCAGCCTTCAAACTACTACCAAGAGACAGTCCTGTTTTCACAAATATCAGGCCGCCACCCCCAGGGATCAGCTAGCACAACCATGTCTCTGACAGCCAGGATGAGGGATTTTTAGATCAGATGCAGGGAGCCTCCCTGTGGCATGTTCTAGACAGCCAGGCTCTCAGGTGGAGTTTGAAGCACTCAGATCTCTTTTCTGGATCCAAAAGGTAAAAGCCACATAGCCTGGAGAATTAAAGCTCCTTGAGTTCTGTGTGGGATGTCCACAAAATATTGCTTAAAAAGGTGCAAATCAACAGCCCAGTTGATGGTGACTTTGGGGCTTCAGTGTATTAAAAAAACCACTAAGAAACAACTTTGCTTCTGAAATCCTAAAGTCATAGCACTCCAAATTCCCTGGAGTTTAGTAAGTTTAAATACAGTACATGTGGGCAACTTCAGTTTTTACTTAGCAAACCCCCAGTGGTTATCTAAACAAGGAATGGAGATCATCCTTCACCTCTGTTTGAGCTTGCAGTATCTGCTGAAATTCACCAATATAAGAGAAGTTTGTTTTTTTAAAAAATCAAATCACATTCCATCCAAGCCATGTTAAGGGTTAAACAAAATACCAACAACCAAAAAAAGAAAAAAAGGTAAAAAAAAGGGAAGGCAATAGGAAAAAGAGTTCTCCTCTCCCAGAGAGAGCCAGCTTGCTGCTGGTCCTGCTTCCCTTCCCAGCAAGCTCTGCTCCTGGGAAAGTGTAGGCTGCTTTCCATATATATCTGCAAACTGTTCCATGCAGTAAGAAGGCTAATTAAAGGGAGGGCGGGAGAGAAAGACACATGTAGAAGACCGAAAGGCAATAGTTATAAGAAGAATAGTGCCTGGGACGAGGGCTAAATTAGAACCTTATGGAGCTGTGCTTATGACAGCCCTGGAAGATCAGACCCAGGCGAGGGGTGGGGGTGGGGCAATAGTCAGCAGCTGCAAAACTATACAGAAAAGCAATAATAGGAGTGCATGCATTTAAAAAATAAATGATAAGAAGGAAATTTTAATCTTAGGGTGGGTGTGCATGCTTTATGCTTTCCTGTCATTTATGCCAAGGCAGATCAGCTTCACTCCTGGGTAGTTGCCAGCTTTGCACTAGACACAAGGCTTATCTCTCTAGCCCATTGGCCACTAGCTTCTGCTGAATTATCCACTTGCACCACTTGGGACAACATGAAAAGCAAAAGCACAAATATTTTGGGTCCCTCCTCTGGGAAAGCATGGGGAGGGGAGATTCACAGCTTACTTCTGCACACCAGCACCATTTTAGATAGGTATATTATTTGCAAATAAATGTTAGCCGTGCACCTGGCTCTTTTACCTTCTCCTTTCTTTCTTTCTTTCTTTCTTCCTTCCTCTCCACCCCTCCTCCCCCTTTCATCCTGCCCCACAATGCTCTTTCTGCAGCACTCTTTCCAGCAGTGGCTGTCAGCCACGCCTAGCCATCAGAAGGAAAGAACATAGATATAATGGTCAGGGTCAAACAAGGTGCACAGACAAGTGAGAGCAATCCCCACTTCTGGCCTGTTGCTCACCAATGGAAATCCAGGTTGCCTTTTTTTTTTTTTTTTGGTAAACCAGTATATACAGTGGTGCTGTTGCTGAACACCAGATTGGTTAAAATAACTGCAGTCCTGGATTTGATCCTGGATGAAGGTGCCAATGGGTTCCTATCACTGAAAACCAGTTAACTCTGATGCCTTCTGTGCAGAAAATGAGAAGAGATTCCTTGTCCCCCATGACCATTTGAACAGGCAAAGGGGGAATTTCAAACATCTTCAGCTAAGAATCCAAATTGGCTGTAGATAGGTCATCCCCAATTGGTGGAAGTAGAAAATGAAGTATTAGGTTTTGTAGTGAGGTATAGGATGGAACATGAACCTCACCTTTACCTCAAGGTTAAAGACTTCGCATCTGAGCTCCCTGAAAGAATCTGCACTCTCATCTAGGGCATGTTTAGAAGTAGATTTGGGCACTCTGCATTTGGCAAAAGCAAGAAACTTCCCTTGGATCCATCGACAGCTGTGGCCCTCATCTCTTGGTCTGCCTGCACATGAATCAAAGGTCTGGAAGACAGCCAGTCCCCTGCGTTGAACTGGCACCGCAGAAGACAATCTAGTCCTACTCATCTGCATATGGAGAGTATGAATGGAAGCTAGGATCCAACATGCCAAGGAACTGAAGCCCCCAACCCCTGCTGCATGTCCTGACTGTGATGCTTGCGGCCAAGAAAGGACACTGAGACAGGAGCTAGGGAGTCTTCCTGGAACTTTTGCAACTATCTTTGTGGGGTGACTGTGTGAGTGGGAGGTCAGTTCCTCCTTCCTGAACAGCTCTACTTCCCACACTGAATGAATGACTACAGTGCCTCAAGAATCCCCAAGGTGAGGAAACAGAGGTACATCAGTCATGTCTTGGAATTTTCCCTGGACCAGAGCTTGCTTCCCTTTAGAATCTTTGTCTTCCTCATTTTCTTTGTCTTTGGCTATCTTTGCCTTCCTCATTTCCCTTTACTCAGCTAAGGAGGAACCCTCAGAATAGACGCCGGCTCTCCTGACCTTGTTACTAGAGGAAACGAAACAGAAATCTGAGGTAAAGACCCTTTGTTGTGCAGCAAATTCCACACACACCGTGCACAGTCAACACATCTTGCCTCAAGGTTGCACTTCTGCTGAAGGAATATCACATTTTCCAACCCCTTGAAACACTATCTGAATACCAGTTGCTAGAAATCACAGGAGGGGAAAGTGCTCTTGTGCAGAAATCCTTCTTATTTATTTATAAAAAGATTGATATACCCTTGTATCATAAAATATATCACAGCCGTTTACAACTATATAAAAACATAAAACCTTACAGTAAAATAATAAATTACTACAAACAAGTTAAGATCAAATGAATTAAAAACAAACATCAACAGACCATTGTGGGTAACAACAACAACAACAATTTATTATTTATACCCCGCCCATCTGGCTGGGTTTCCCCAGCCACTCTGGGTGGCTTCCAACAGAATATTAAAATACAATAATCTATTAAACATTAAAAGCTTCCCTAAACAGGGCTGCCTTCAGATGTCTCTTAATTGCCTGCACAGGTCTGGGGGAATCTAAAAAGTTTTCCACAGGTGTTTAAAAGTTGGCACAGAAGGAGCCCACTGAATCTCTACTGGCAGGGTGTTCCACAGGAACAGAGCCAATGATGCTACAGGCTTGGTTTCCCATTGTTGTCAAATGAGCTTGACCAACTCAGAGAACCACCACAGACCAGGATTGTGCTTGAAACCCGCTTGCAGGTTTGCCACAGGTATCTGGTTGGCCACAAAGAGAACAGTCTGCTGGACTAGATGGGCCACTGGCCTGATCCAGCACACTCTTCTTATGTTCTTATTACATAGGACAGTTCCCTTCCACACAACAGAGGCTGGTCTATCAGGGCAAATAGGGGGCTGCCCCCCCCAGCCCCCATGCCACCCACTGCCTGCCTCCTTACCTGGGAAAATTGGGAAGTATTAAGCAGGGGATGGCTCTGGCTGCCAGCCTCCTCTGCTCCTTAGTCCCAGTGTTGATCTTGTAGAATTCACCAGGGAGGAGGTTGGGGATAATACCAGAATTAGTTAGCTCTGCCTTTCATTGGTTCTAGCCCTGCCTGCTGAAGCCCCACCTCCTGCTGGGCTCCCTATATCTTTTGCCCTTTCAGTCCCCAGAAGCACCAGCCTCGGCTGCTCGACCTGCCCGCTCACTCCTGAGTTTTATACATGGCACAAAACAAGGAAGAAAAGTTCAAACCCATTTATCACTCGCCATCGCATGCAGACAAGAGAAGGGTATGGTTCGGCTGTCACAGGAGTCTGTAGCTGAAAGGACGGACCAAAATGAATGGATTCTTTAAAAGCTTAGTGGACAGAAGACTCGTAGCAAACACAAATAAAAACCAGAACATGAAAAGTCATTTTTTTTGTGGGACGCCAAATGGCAGGCGGGTGACAATGGAGAAATATGAAACACTTTAGGAGGGGAAAGATCTGCAGCGTTTGGCGACGCTCCTACGCTGCTCTCAATTCAAACAGCTGCAGGAAATGGAATGCTCTTTTCTGACACATTCCCCCCATTGCTGCAGCTAATCGAGTGGGAAGGGCAGAGTTTTAGCACAGCACAGCAAGGACTCCAGAACAGCTTCTCAACTGCCGGAAGTATAGATGGAAAAAGAGCGTAACAACACATGCTGTGGAAGTTGTGCTCTCAGATATTCCATGGGAATTTCTAGGAATAAATTGTTCTCAGCATAACACCACAGACTATTTCTTTAGGATGGAAAGCACACATCTGATGGCTGCATAACGCAAAGTCTTCTTCTTTGATTAATTAAGGTGCTCAAGGTGGCAGCATACTTGGTTTTCCTCTGCCCCATTTTATCCTTACAACAAACCTGTGAGGCAGGTTAGGCTAAGAG